AGAGCCCCATGCTGACCTCTGACCATAAAATACTTGCCTGGATAAAGAATTCTTGTTCCTTTGTTGGAGATCTAGAGGAGGAAGTTCCAAAGGGGAGGAATGGCCTGTGAGAATGTCTCTTTAGGCATCTTTGCTGTTTGGATTTATTGCATGGTGAAGGGGAGGGCCAGGAAGTAGGGTTCAGCTGACTGTAGAGACTGCAGCAGGGTTTAGAGAACGATGCCGAGCTGTCATAGGAAAACTTGTTGCTAGGGATTCCCTGGAGAACACCTATGCATCACTAGTATTCATACGTTTGGAATGCTTTTGCTACCTGAAGAAAACAAACACTTGGCTCCACAAACGGTGGACATGTACATCAACAAGTGTGTCCACAACCAAGATGAGAGTCTAAACTTGATCCCACAAATTACCACATCCTTTACCATTTTTCTTGTTTAAATCACTGGTTTGTCTGAAAAAGCAGCCTGCATAGCCCAGGCTTATCAGAGCTCAGGAACGAAGCAGGGTTGGCTGCGGTCAGTACTTGGATGGCAGCCCACGAAGGAAGTCTAGGGTTGCTACACAGAGGCAGGCAATGGCAAGCCAACTCTGAATGTTGCTCACCTGGAACGCCTTGTGGATGGGGTCGCTGTGAGTCAGTTGTCACTTAACAGCACCTTCTTGTCTAGAAGCCAGAAACAAATTGTTTCAACAGGTCAAACAGCAATGCAGAACTGAGGCTTAACTGCTCAGTTAAGTGCTATCAGCAAATATCACCTGGATGCTTCTGATGACAACATCATCTCCAACGGTCATAAAGGTAAAGGTTCCCTTGCTCGAAAGCCAGTCGAATCCGACTCTAGGGTTGCGGTGCTCATCTCCGTTTCAAAGCCGAAGAGCCAGCGCTGTCCGAAGACGTTTCCGTGGTCATGTAGCCGGCATGACTAAACACCAAGGCGCACGGAACGCTGTTACCTTCCCACCGAAGTGGTACCTATTTATCTACTTGCAATTTCTTGCTTTCGAACTGCTAGGTTGGCATACTCTTACATTAAATAACATTAAATAACATTGGTATAATTTGGATTAGAGAAATGGAAATCCTATTGGCGTGACTGGATTTCACTACAAATATGCAAGTAAATGTTTTTCAGATGCTGAAGTAGTTTAAAAGTGTGCACAGGAATTCCATGTGGACTTTTTAGCAGCAGCTGAGAACCACAGATTGATTGGGCTCTTAATCAAGCAAGAAGAGCTTTCTGGATTGGGTATATTTCTGCGACCCACACAATTCAAGACTGCTCCTGCAGTTCCTCACAAGATGACAGCTAGAACAGCTTGAAAAGCCCAAGAAATGGATACCAAAGACTATGGTAAAATAGGAAAGATACAAGTCATAGAGAAGGGATTTAGCTTCTAAATTGAAGGACTTTTCTGCTCTATCCTGCAGATAACAAAGTAGCAGAATTAGCAGTCCGGTCCAAACAGCATTAGGCAAGCAATGCTGCTGAGGATAGAGTACGTCGCTCTCAGAGACTACTCACATTTTATGCATAAAAGAGGCTTATAATAGTTAGGCTTACAAGAACAAGTACTGGGAATGATTGTGAAGGAAAGTATAACATGAAAGTTGCTGGTCACAGAAATTAAAACTAAACCACAGGAAAGCTGTGTATAAATGGCTACATAAAAACTCGTGAGTTTGATCTTAAGCACAGTAAGCACCTTAAAGAGCAACAAGATGTCCAGCATATAAGGTCTTGAGAGTCAAAGCTCCCTTGATACTAAAAGTTTATACCCTGGAAATCTTGAATCTTGCTGTTTTACTATAAGACTGGTTTCTTTGGATCAGCCTTTCCAAATCAATAAGTACTTCATGAGCTTCTCCTGTCCATATATGTTAAGAGACATGTAAAACAGAACATTTGGGTTCCCATTAATTTCAGTGCATCTTGCACACAAAAAGTTCATGACTGGTTTTTTTTCAAGGTCTTAATTCTTTTGTTTTTCAAGGAAATCACAACTACTGCCTTTTTGAAAAGATGCAATGAGGAAAAAAGAATCATATACACATTTTGTAAAGAAAATGTTTTATTTAAAGTGTTAAATACCATCACCAGAATGAATTTGATTTACATTAGTTGGTGTTCATTAACAGGCCTAATCTGCCCCTTTCTCCAATTTCAATTCCTTTTACTTTTAAAACAGACTATGTACAAGACAGCTGTGGTCACTGGAAGAGTGCTATTTACATGACTAAATTATAAGTAGAGTTGCAGACATGTGAATATTTAAAAAAAATACAATCAACTTTTAAAATAAATACTGCATAATGACCAAGTATGTACAGATATTCCATTTGGTCATGCCCTCCTTTTCTGAGTTAGAAATAATTTTTATAGGAATATGCATAAAAGAATGCATGACTGCATGTCACAGTATCAGGAAGAGAGTAATACATGTAAAAATTGTTTTACTCCTGGGGGGGAATAATGCAAAGGTATATCTTTAGTACTTATTGGTTGCTCATACACAGGCAACTAGTTGAACCATGTTTATTGGTGTTTATTAATGTAACACCCATCCCTTATCCATAACCACATAGAGAAAAAGGCAGATCCTGTAGATACACATGTGGAACTCCCACTGGTGACAGCTTCTCCATTCATTCCAGTGGAGAAGGCAGTTCCATGGGCATATTTCTTTTTACTAGGGAACACATGGAGCACTATTAGATCAAGGTGTCTGGGTGCAATTTCACCAAGCACTGCAGCTGCACAACCCCCACTCATTCCAATAGTACTTGTGCAGGGTTCCTGGAGGATTATGCTCAGTAATGACTTGTCACACCACACCACAAAGCAAAAGGCATTAAAAGTGATGCCTATTGTTATTTTTGCCCCCTATGATGCATGTACATTTTGGGGAAATATTACAGATTTTTCATACAAAACCAGAATATTCCTGTGTATGGCCTTAATTTAAACATATTAATAAATTATTGCAATGCTTCAACATTAAACAATAAGTACGTAACTGAAGGCATCTAACAACACAGGGAGGGGGGAAATGGTCCGCTTAAACATAACAGATTTTACATTCCTTTTCATCAGAGATATTAATGATAAATCTGGACGCAGAGGATCCCACGTTTCCACCCCTCCTTTCAGTGGTGCTAAAATCACTTGATATACAGGAGACAGGTTTTTGTTTTTTAATATCTGAGATGAGTTTGCATTTAGGCTAGTAATGGTGTCAAAAATAAGTTGCATGTATTTTATTTAAGGCGTTTAAAAATCACAAGGTACAACCCTGGCATCTCTTAGGGCACGTAAGTACCACTAATTTGAAAATTAACTAAGTGCAGGATTGCTGTCCAAGTTTTGACTTTTTAATATCAGGTTGATATTTACTGATTTAACCATCTTAAATATACAATCTCAAGACCGAACATTAAAGCATAATTGCTCTTTTGTTTGGATCCCTAAACGGGAAGCAATTTGTTTGGCTCAGTGCAAGTGGTAAGATGCCGAAATTGAATAAGACTGTTGCCATTTCTTCAAGACCTTCCAGAAATAATAGTTCAACCTTTGAATGAACGATGCTGGTGCTGAAAACAAATTTATTGAAGACATTTTACAAATGGCCACATGATTCCAGTATTTTGCTGTAGAATTTAATTTGAAGGTGAGAAAAAAAGGAAGTTTCCATGCACTGTACAATAAACTGCAAAAAGTTCAATTTTTTATCAAATACATGCTGAATTATTGTAATGGACTCCCCAAGCCATGTTGCAAAATTCTTTTCAACATGCTTGAAAAAAGTTCTTAAACAATAGTTTTTCTCAAAGAATTCAGAAATGCAGAATAATCTGCAACCCTGAACAAAATGTGGGGCATGACAGTAGTAAGTCAAAAAGTAGCAGTTTCAGAGTATAATGATCATCCTGGGAGGGAGGGAGGGAATGGGAGGGCAAAAGGAGGGAAGAACAGACGAGAAGGGGGAAAGAATTGTACAATTTTGAACATATTGTTGAACTTTACAAGGCTTGTACCTTTTACATTTAAATAAATTTTATATATTACACTTATTTCTTGTCACATAAACATAATTTTTAAATATTTGCTAGAAATTATTTATTTTTCATTTATGTCTGCAAAAACACAGACCATAATTGGTTTAAAGAATGAGAAACATGGTGCGTCTTATCACTCTGTTGCATTCTCTCCCTTTTAAAACCATGCACTAGTGAAATTTATTTTTAAAAATAATATAAATTGTTGAAAATGGCTGATTTATTCTTTTTTTTTTGCAAGTTGCAGCCCCAAGAAAATAATTTTAAGTGTTCAGCATAATCTGTGTCCATGCAAAAAAGTTTCTTTAATTTTCATACAGTACAGTATAGCCACAGAATTTTTTTTTTAAAATTTCAGAGTCCACAGACTGGATTTGACTCTAGCAGTAGCTGGAGCTACAAAGCCTGCCACTATAAGTCTTCAACCTTTCTATAAGGCGAGTTTCCTCTGCTTCCAAGCAACTGTAATGACAACTGGCTTTCCTGTAATGGCCCTCTTTTCTTCCATCTTTCCACTGACTTGCAGAATGGCTTCTTTAAGCAGCTCCATGTCTGTGGCATCACCAGGCTTGGGCGGGATGTGGGTGGAAGAAGGGGCAGATAAAGAAAAGGGAGCAAGAAAATAGAGGTGCCATTGAAAGGGACTCTTGTTGCATGAGACAGCTTGATTCTTTTAGTTTAATCCATGGCTTCAGATTGGACTAAAACTTGAGTGTCACTGAACTCGAAACCATTCAGTTCTTCCAGCTCCACTCCTTCACCTGAGGACTTCCTTTAGAGCACAATGTGTGCAACTTCCTCTGAGAACACAGGATCGCTTTATAGCCCTAGAAACAGGCTCCGAAGACACAACATTAAGCATGCAGTGTTACCAGGGTTTGCGACCTGTTAATTTTTAAATTTTTTTGTAACGCTGGTTGTTATGACACCAGTTTCACAGCTGCTATGAGCGAGCGTAAGAAGGTCCCGTTGAACTTTCAAGAGACGACTGGGATGCCCTTCTTGTCAGAGGGGCCAAAGTCGGATCTACTAAGGATGAAGGGGGAAACAGTTTGAACCAGCCAATCACCATATTGGACAGGTCCAGTTCGTCTAAAAGTATCTGTGCCACTCCCATAAAGGATTTGTGATCCATACGTCCATAATCTCCCCACACGATAATCTGTTGGGAGAAAAAGGAAAAATGAATAGGCTTCAGAAGCGGAATGAGGATGAAAGGTTCTTCAGGTCCATTAAAAGGATGACTAAGAAGGATAGATTACGAGGATGAGGTCTGGATATCATTTGTCACCTTCTGTAGAGTGGCAACACTTACAGTTGCAACATTTGTTGATATGTAAATATGGCCTTGCAGCATGGTTTCAGAATCCCCTTTGCTCCTGTCGTTATAATTCTGGCTTGCTTTTATGCATTGTTTTTGCTTTCTCTCCCCCCCCCCCTTTTAGTGAGTATTTTGTGTCTCTGTGTGTATGCCTGGAAGTCATAATTGACTTCTGGCAACCCCTAGTGGGGCTTGGATGTTTCAGAGAGGTGGCTTCCTATTGCCTGTGTCGGCTATCCGGGTCAGGGCTTTCCCCCCCCCCCCATCATTTTTTTTTTTACTTTGATGCTGAATTTCTGCGTTTCCCCCCCTTGTTCTTTTTCCTGTTAGTTTTTTAAAGAAATACATTAAAATAAAATAATAATAAAAAGGATAACTAACAATTGCAAAAAAATAGTGGGAGTTTCATTGTCTTGCCCTTTCTCTGTAATTTTATAACATCTGTTTATCAGGTTTGCTGAACTCCCGTCATTAGAATTCTAAGTATCTTGCCCCTTTGTATTGTGGAAATATAAAAGTAAGGCATATTTTTAAACATAAACCTGAGAATTCAGACAACCTGATACCCAGATTGTTATAATAATAATATAACAATATACAATTTTTTTGGGTGGTGGGAGAATAGCTGCTACTGGGGAAAGGAAAATGCAGGGCAATCTGCCATATGGAAGCTCTGTTGTCACTGAGCTGTATCTGCAGCTGCAGCAGCAACAACAGGGAAACCACAGACACCTGTCCCCCGTGGGAAACATCTGTGTGTGAGGAGGTACTTTTACGGACATGCCGGGACTTCCCAATTTGTTGTCTTTTGACTACAGGCTGTTAAAAGTGATAACCGTACATGAAGTTTGTTGGGGTCATGGCTTAGAGGTAGAGGACCTTTGCATGTAGAAGGTCCCATGCTCAACCCCTAGCATCCTCAATTAAAAGGAACAGACAGTAAGTGATATGAAATACCCCTGAACTGTTGGTGGTCAGAGGAGACAACAGTGACCTTGATAGACAAAAATGTCTGACTAGTATAAGACAGTATGTCACTTCTTGTGTTCAAAGGCAACTCCAGATGCCCAAGAAGCAGGGGAATACAAACAGGTAAATAAATGACCACATCAGAAAGATCCACTGGGAAATGTGAGATGTGGGCCCAGTGACAAGGTAAGTGAACATGTAAAGGGTCTAAGATCAAGAGCGAGACAAAGCATCTCAACGGAAACAACACAGGCACAAAGACTGATAACATCTACTGGTTATTGATTAATGGTCCAATATTAAAGATTTTAAACAGCAGCAGACAAGCATTTAGGAACTGGCACACCATCAAACCATGATTTTATGCTACTGTTGCAGCAGTACTCACATGCAAACATTTAAATTAAAATGAGAGTTTAGGCCACTGCTATGAGAAAAGGCAAAAAAGTAAGGGGAGCAGTCTTGTGCTTATTCAACTAATGCTGCTGAAATAGAATAATTTCAGATAAATAGGGGGAAATTACCTGTAAAACTTTCCCTTGGGGACTCTCTTCAAATGACAACAGCTGCTGGTAAAGAGGTTCCAGCGTTTTTCTTGCCACCTTTGTTTTCTTTTTGGCTATACAGGCTCCATTTTCTAATAGATACACCTTTACATATGGTGCTTTGGAGAGAAAAAAAAGATGAAAAATCTGTTAGAGACATTTTTAAACATTAGCCACACTGTCTTAGCTCCATATGCTAAATCCTGCTATTTAGCTGATAAATATTTTAATTAAAGATAGCCTCATCATACATTGTATTTATAAGTATATTCTCAAAGGAGATGCTTGCACATACTGGATAGACAAACAACCCTGCTTTTCTTTCCCTCCCATGGCCACGTACACATTATGAGGCAAGTCTAGTTTTCAACTGAATATTGACGCTGCTGCTACAGGAGACAATAAAGCAGTCTGAAAAACAACAACAAGTAAGCCTTAATTCATTGCTAGCTGTAATTTCAAGTGTAGAGCCAAGCAGAAATCTAATCGCTGAAGCTCTGCATCCTGAAAATAGTAAGAGATTTCATGCATACCCACCAACTAAAACACATTGGATTATAAATATGCTAGGCACTGTAAGAAAATATCTGGAAGGTACAACTAGCCCACATTTCACAGAATCATAGAATGTTACCGTTGGAAGGGATCTTGCAGGTCATCTAGTCCAACCGGCTGCACTCTACAGGAGCATAGCCAAAAGATAGCCCTACAACATACCCGAAAGGTGGTTGTCCAGCCTCCGCTTGAAAACATCCAGCGAAGGAGCATCCACCACCTCCCAAGGCAGTCTGTTCCACTGCTCAACCACTCTTACAGTTAGGAAGTTTCTCCTGATATTTAGCCAGTAACGACTCCCTTGTAATTTCCATCCATTAGATCTAGTCTTGCAATCCGGAGCAAGAGAGAATAGATCTGCTCCATCTTCTACATGACAGCCCTTCAGATATTTGAAGACTGCAAACATGTCCCCTCTAAGCCTTCTCTTTCCCAGGCTAAACATACCCAACTCTTTCAGCCTTTCCTCATAAGACTTGGATTCCAACCCTCTCACCATCCTGGTTGCCCTCTTCTGGACACGCTCGAGCTTGTTAACATCCTTCCTAAAATGTGGTGCCCAAAACTGGACACAGTACTCCAGGTGAGGCATGACCATAGCAGAATAGAGTGGAACTACCACCTCCCATTATTTGGATACAATGCTTTTAAAACAAACTGTAGGTAGTCAATATACTTTGGAAGGACCAGAGCTATTTTTGGGCAGGAACACACAGGAACGGAGTTCCAGCTGGCTCCCGAGTTGGCCACGCCCAGCAGGAACTCATTGGCATAATAGGCCACACCCAACAGCAGAAACTCATTAGGATTGGCTACATTAGGGGTGTGTGGCCTAACATGCAAAGGAGTTCCTGCGACAAAAAAACCCTGGGTTTTGACAACAAACAGGGTAAACAGAATATGAAGCAAAAGGTGGGTGTGGCTGGATGACTACACTTCTGGTAACATGGGGGCCTAATATGCTAATAAGCTGTGTCATCAGGGTTGCTAATGAGTTCCTGCTGGGCTTTTTCTACAAAAAGAGCCCTGGGAAGGACCATTAAATAGAGTACTGTATAGTTCCCTAGTTCTGTTAAATGGGGTACTGAAGCTAAAATAATTATGATCTAGATTAATATGCTGCCTGCAGAACACAGTTATTTTGTTTACCTGGCAGTGTCTTTGAACCTGGTTTTACAACAAGGCCTCGAGCTCGTATTATTTCCACCTCCAATTGTCCCTTTTTGTCCATCATTCCAACCTGGATATCACCTAAGAAGAGGGGGAAAACAATGTGATTACAATTAAAAACACCTGGATATATTTAAATTGTGTTATTAATAAAAATGATTATTCCTTTTTTCCACAGAACATACTTCCAACCATTTAAAACTAAGCAATTAGTCTTTAAAAAGCTTGCCTAGACGTATCGAGCATGATGACAAAAAGTATCCATAATAACACACATTTAGTTTACATCTCGCCTTCACAGCATACATACCAATATCCTCAAGGAATACAGCCAACAGATTTTCCATCTACCTTATAATGCATTTGGAACACTGAATACGCTTCCCTAAAACCAAGCCAAATTAGCAAACTACTGGAAAGATGTTGTATCTCAAAATGATCCTTCAGTCTTTTAAAATTGAAGTGAAAGAGTAGACTTTATAATTAAAGATTATGACTTAACTCCTCTTTCAGGCAATGTTAATAGGAAATCCTAGTTTACGCACAAGAGATAAACTTATCAAGTATGAGCACTAGTAACAGCCAACTTTAAACCGAAATGTACTTTTTACAAGGGGGTTGAAATACAGTATTTCTGTAAAACATACACAAACGTACACAAACTTTGTCACTGTGGGAAAGGTGGAAAATAGAATAGGATGGGAAAACTGGTGAGAGGAAAGACTAGTGAGAGGAAAGAATTTAGTTCACCTATCTTCTAGTGTCCAAGATGAAACTTTCAGATGTGTTCACAGACATGAATGGTGGGTTTTTGCACTGGCTTTTGGGCAAGCCCCAATCACATCTGGGCCACTCTCATAGGCAAGCTTTTTAAACTGCTTTTCTTTTATGCAAGTTATTAACAACTTTCTGTACCATTTGCTTTTTGTTTTGAATGCAATAATAACTAATAAAAGCCTTTAACACTCTGTTGGGGGCGTTGGACCCGCTCACTAGCCCAAACAGTGCCCCTCCTTGTGATAGCAAAAGAATTGCTAGAAGAATTAAGAGGAAGGGAAGGCGCTTCAAGCTCCCCTAAACCAAGAGAAAAACCTCACAACTGGAATGGTGGCTGAGGTTTACTGTACCTGGTCTGCCCTGAGGGTGAACAGGAACAGGAGTGGGGAGAAAAGGAGTGCAGATCCCACCTGTGGCCCAGGAATGAGTGCCTCAGCCAATTCTACCCTGTCCCCTGGACACACATAAGCTCTTCATTTCTATAATATGGCTACACTGAAACTGAGGAAAGTTGAGATTACTCTTTGAACTTGAGCTCATCTAAAATCATCCAGTAGGTCCAAGGTGAATATAATAATTAGTCTAATTATATGCTTTGTAGTCTACCCACACTATAACCAAATGGCAAAGTTCCTTACCCATTGCTGGAGTTGCCAGGGTTTGGCGTCCAACAAGCTGTGCAGGACCAAGTCCATCTAGAAAGTCACTGAACTGGCTGTCCGCACCCAACCGCACACCAGGAAAGATCAAACTAAATAAAAACAAACTTATATTTGCATTTGTTTCTAAAGAGTAAAATTAAAATCTACAATCTGTTTATTATGAATCTGGTCCCACAACACTGTAGTCACTTATACATGTAAATCTGCAAGTAGTGGCAAGGAAATGGAATTTTGTAGATATCCTAAAATAAAGATATAGGAGTAACCAGACTCTATACTATGGGTTAGATTCAGAACAACATGACAAAAGGGATATTAAAAGTATTCTTCTTCTTGAGGCTCTAAAAAAAAGCCAATCCTGAAGGTAAAGGAACTCTCAAGCACAGTGTGGGATTCTACATGGGGTTAGCAGTGGGGAGGGAGAACTGGCAAAAATTGCCCCTGACTCTTCACGTAAAAGAGAGGAACAAAAGTGTCCCTCTGGTCCCTTTCCCATTGCAGCCATCCACCCCACAATCACTGTTCTTTGCAAAGGGTCCCTCAATCTGCAGAAAGACAGGGAGAATTGAGAGCTCCCTTCCACGAGCAGACTAGGGCTGCCAACCTCCAAACATGGCCTCCTGACATTACTACTGGTCACCAGACAACAGAAATCAGTTCCTCTGGAGAAAATGGCTGCTTTGGTGGGTAGACTCTATGGCATTATATCCCGCTGAGGCCCCTCCCTTCCACCGGATCACACCCTCCCAGGCTTTACCTACAAATCCCCAGGAACTTCCCCCACCCAGAGCTGGCAAACTTAGAGCAGATCCAACCCTTTATTTTCCAAGAAAACACTATTTTTAGTTTCTTTCTGGCAGGTAATGGCCTTTAACATTGTAAGAATACAAATCTGGATCTTTTTGCCTAATATTCATACTATATTTGACATTAAAAATCTGTGTGACCTTCTAACTTGGCTGAACTGAATTTGCCCCTAGGCAAGGGTTTCTAATTTTGCTTATGAGACAGGCTTATTAGAAGTTTAAAAATCTCACGTTTATTGTAAGTTATATTTGTTTTTAAGTTGATTTGAAAAATAAACCCTATTGTTTTGGCCTCAGGTAATTAAATTACTAGTTGCAAAATTGGAGTATTACCTGGGAAATCACTAACCATTGAAATTAGTATTGAATTAATGCGGACCACCAGGGAAAATGTGTATCACCCTTTGTAATGTGTAATTGACAAAATTAAGTCAATTCAGGATGTGTTGGTGTGAAGTACATCTAGTACAGGGGTGTGGAACTCATTTGCTATGAGGGCCGGATCTGACATAAATGAGACCTTGTTGGGCAGGGCCATGTGTGTCATAAAATGTAATGCCAGGTAGCGGAGATATAAACTTTATAAAGGACACAAATACAAAGGTTTTTTTTACTTAAAATAAAAACATGCTTAAAACATTAGCACTCTTGCAGTATTTTGTTTATTTAACAGTGTCTGACAACTGACACCTCTTGAACTGAATTACTGCATCAAAATGTCTGTGCTGTTGCAATCTTGATTATGCTGTTCAGGTGTGTATCTGTAAGCTGCAAACCTACAATGATGCAGCAGCAGCAGAACTGAAAGAAACAGAAGACAGCCAGTTCCACTGCGGGCCTGATAGAAGCCCTTCAGGGGCCTGATCTGGCCCCTGGGCCACATGTTTGACACCCCTGATCTAGTACCTCTGCTACCTTTTGTTGCCAGTCCTGCAAACATTTGAAAAACTTGCAACCAGCAAAGCAGTTAAAGCAGAGGTGTCAAGCTCATTTGTTACAAGAGCTGGACCTGACATAAAAGCTACTTTGTTGGACTGGACCATGTCTGCCATTAAATGAAATGCCAGGTACTGGAGATATAAACCTTATCAAAGACACAGGTAAATCCAATTAAATATATTATTTTTTACTCAAAATACAATCAAAAGCAATTGCTACCTAGGAGTGAAAGCAACTGATTTACCAGGGGATCCACAAAAGCCCCAATAAAAGTATTTAATCTTATTGCAAGACTAGGTTTTTTCCAAAGGATACCATACCCACCCCCTAGCCATTTCATTTCTTGAAAGCTTTGACCACACACACCTCACTGTGTGTGCCCATGTAACCGCTCCCCCCACAGCAGCCTCCTGCCTTCCCTCTCTTGCACCAGTAGCTCATGGGTTGGATAAGAGCTCTGGATTGGCTGGTTTTGCCCCCCCCCCACCGCATGTTTGACACCCCTGTGTTAAAGTATCATACTACATGAAAACAGTTCCAGGGAAATTGTGAGCTTATTTTCATGTAATTTTTATATTGGAGTTAAATGTCGCAATCCTAAAGCATCCTGAAATGTACAATTAAAAAACCATCAATTGATATTTATTTGTTTACAATCATAGATCAACCAAGACTGACCGAGTCATCCTATCAAAATCAATGAACAATATCAGGATCATTCATAGATTTATAACTCATTAACCTATTTATCATTAATGGCATCTAATAGCATCTAGCATCTAATATTCAATTAGAAGAAAATGTATCCTATAAAATGTGATTTTTGGATGCATGTGACTTGAGTTATACTCCTGGGTGCAAAATAAAGCATATGCCCGAACAAAGTCAATTTTAGTCCCAAAATATATAAAAACAGTCAAGGAATATATAGAATCTTCATCACTGTTTTCTATTCACCTGTTTTACCCTCCATGTATGTATAAAATATACACACCCACACACATAATTGCTATTTAGTTATTGGTCATATTGGGCTTCTAAAGAAGTACATTCTCCTGTCTTGTAGGGGAATCAACATACTATGGGACTGTCTCTCCTGGTATACCCCCAAGAAGAGCATTACTCTCTGGAGAGAAGAATGTTTTATTTGTTTATTTATTTATTCCAATTTATATCCCTCCCTCCCTGCCAAGGCAGCTCAGGGCTGCTTACACAGGGTAAATACAGAAATAACAATCAAATTACCATAAAACATCTAAAAGCAGTTCATTAAAAACAATACAATATTAAAGTGCTAGCAGTGTTCTTTGATATATAAAGATGGCGGTATACCTTCTCAGAAATAATTGGCAGGCACAGGCTGTCAGTAGCAAACCAAGGGCCAGCCCCTATAACTTTCAGTTGTTATTGATAATGGTGGCGGCTCCTAGTTGAAGGCCTGGTGGAAGAGCTCCATCTTGCAGGCCCTGTGGAACTGTAAAAGGTCCCGCAGGGCCCTGATCTCTTCCGGGAGCTCATTAAACCAGTATGGAGCTGCCACCGAGAAAGCCCTGGCCCAGATTGCAGCCAGCCTAGCATCCTTGGGGCCTGGGAGGGCCAACTGGTTTTGTGACCCTGACCATAGTGCTCTCTGGGGTCTATATGGGGAAAATCGGTCCCTCAGGTATGTCGGACCCTGGCCGTAAAGGGCTTTAAAGGTAAGAACCAGCACCTTGAAGTGAATCCGGTATGCTACTGGCAGCCAGTGCAATGCCATCAGGACAGGCTGGATGTGCTCCCTCATGGGGAGACCCATCAGGAGCTGGCCGCAGCATTCTGCACTAGCTGCAGCTTCCAGATTTGCGACAAGGGCAGCCCGACGTAGAGAGCGTTACAGTAGTCTAATCTCAAGGTGACCATCGCATGGATCACCGTTACCAAGTCGCATTCGAGGAAGGGAACCAGCTGCCTGATCAACCGACGATGGTAAAAGGCCGACCTGGCAGTGGCTGCTACCTGGGCCTCCATTGTTAAGGAGGCATCCAAGAGCACTCCCAAACGCCTAACCTCCGGCGCTGGCACCAATGGTGCCCCATCAAAGGTCGGGATCCCTACCCCTGGACCAGGTCTGGCACAGGACCTCCATCTTCGTCAGATTCCATTTCAATCGGCTCAGTCTAAGCCAACCAGCCACGACTTGAAACACCCGGTCCAGATCTTCTGGTCTGGAGCCAGACTGACCGCCCAACATCAGATAGAGCTGGGTGTCATCTGCATACTGGTGACATCCCAGCCCATGACTCCGGGCAATCTGGGCAAGATGGCGCATATAGATACTGAATAACATCGGGGACAACACCACCCCTTGAGGCACTCCACAATTTAATGGGTGCCTTCAGGATAGCTGTTCCCCTAATGCCACCCTTTGTCCCTGACCATGGAGAAAGGAGGCAAGCCATTGCAAGGCAGGACCATGAACTCCTGTGTCGGCAAGGCAGTGGATCAGTAACTGATGGTCGACCATGTCGAACGCTGCCGACAGGTCCAACAATAACAGTACTGCCAAACCACTCCGATCCAGGTACCTCTGGATATCATCCGTGAGGGTGACCAGTGCTGTCTCTGTCCCATGGTCTGGGCAAAAACCAGACTGGAAAGGATCTAAAATGGAAGCATCATCCAAAAAGCTCTATAGCTGAATTGTCACAGCCCTCTCTATTATTTTGCCCAAATAGGGCAAATTGGAAACCGGCCGGTAGTTAGCCAATTCAGCCGGATACATAGATGGCTTCTTCAAGAGGGGATGCATCACCGCTTCCTTGAGCACGCCAGGAAACAGTCCCTGGTGATTCCTGGCCTGAAAGACATCTGGCTGTCCTCAACCAGAGCCTCGACCAAGCCTGGCCTCTTCCTTCTCTCTTCCTCCCCACGGGGTAAGGACGCAATTGGGTCCGTTAAGAACCATCAGAAACAGTAATAGAATTGTCTATTGTTTTACCTATTTAAATTCTGTTTTGTAAATGTGTTTTATGGAAATGTTGTTCACCACCCTGAGCCCTATGTATAGGGGAAGGTGGTCTACAAAATCAAATAAATAA